AATGGGATTGGGAAGGAGCAGAAGTCAAAGAGTGGGTGATTAACATATTATAATTTTGGCAATTACACTAGATAAGACAAAACAGAAAGCTACAACATCCCATGCAACTCCTGGGAAGTCGTGGTAGTGGCCTCGATTGTGGTAAGTTTCTCCCTTTTCCAAAGCTCCGATTCTTCTGATCTGCTTTCCTTTCTTTACAATAAACCCCGCGACACACTGTACTACAGTACCGATCCTTCATGGAGAATTTATACTATACTCAATTTGCCACGTGTCATTGAGGAAAATGGGTTGCAGGGTTGGTGGGCCATATCTTTGCTTCTATTTCCATCGGTCATCAAATCAAGTGGCAGGGCATAATTGTGATTCACCTCAGTCCTCAATCTAGCGAGCACGCTTTGGTTCGTGGCAAAAGTCATTCAATCTTTTTAGTTTTTCCACCGGGTCGTTGAGTATTTTTCATTTGCTCTGAGTGTTGGTTGGTTGTGCTGCTGTACACGATTGAGTACCTCCATTTCACGCCTCCGGACATTTCATAAAGGATGTGTACACCCTCTGACCCCGATTTCACGCTAAGCACCGGGTTCCGATTTCCCTGCCCAATCATATCATGTTTTTTTTCTCCTTGGACCGTTGGTCATCACTGTCGGGCCCACATAACTCGCCTAATAAGTTCCCAGAGAAATAGAAATAACTAATCAGAACACTGTGAATGACCTCGAAATTGCCACGTGGCGAATTCTATGGAGTAGCTTTCAGTTCCAGTGGTAACTGGTAAATGAAAGAATGAATTCTATAATTCTACGTTTGTATGTAGTATGAACTGACACGTGTGCTTAACTAAGCCACGGAGACCGCAGACGGCAGACGCATGGTGTTACCAATTACCATCACCCATAAAGAGAGTATAGGCGTTAAGCCGACATGGAAAATTCAAACCACCCACTCTCTCTCTACGTGGACTCTGCCCGCACTATGTAGCTGTTACCTCTCAATTCAAAATTCGACGTCTACTTTTGGTACATTCAGCTTCCCTTCAAAGCAAGTAATATTGAATAGCCATATTGCACTATTGTAGTATAGGGTCCCACCATCATCTTTTCTTTTGCCACCTGTCAGATTCTAATGGTTGTAACAAGGACTGATGGTTACAATGTTTTTCTTTTACAATCCCTGGTTTTAAAAGATAGCTGTGTTACCTCTCATTTTAAATCAAAACCGGGTGGTTGAACCATTCAACCCAAGACCTAGCGGTTTACAATGTCGTATTTCCGAACCACAATGAGGGATTAGTTTGCCTAAAAGAAAGAAAAATAGTATCACACAAAGCTCAAATAAATCGTGTAGAGAAATTTCTACTTATGCTTGATTTAACCCTAATACATTTTCCACATGATAAGAAGGTGATATGGGGAACATCAGGACCCAATTTTGGCTGATCATGCCTAAAAATCACATGGAATAGCTTGATCCAATCCATTTTTTTGCAAAAAAAAAAAAGTAATAACAATAAAAATAACAACAAAGAATGGAGTCTCTTCTAAGAAAATGGTGAAATAGATATGCAAGATTAGTCAGTGGAGGCATGACTTGTCTTCTTCATCTTCTTCATTGTCCCCTCATCCAGCAGATTTCACAAGGTGGCCCCCTGTACTGCTGCAAGTATACATAGTATCTAGTGATGGATTTGCTTGACACAGCTGGAGGAAAACTCAACATTTCAGGCTCAAGTACTGGACCACATTATAATACCACCAATTTTGATTTAAATTTCATCTGAGCCTTGTTTTGTCATTCTGTTCTATTCAGTATCATATCCATCGTTAAATAAATATCTAAAAAAAAATTCTATCCTTAAATAAATACCAAAGAAATCCATTATTAAATTCTTGACGCTTATATTATTTTTTTATTACTTCTAACAGGGTTGAAGTCAGTTATAGGGCGGGGGACCTTGTCCACCCTCAGCTAAACCATTCGGTCTCCGAACTTTTCAGAAAATATGTTACTGGGTGGGGTGGAGTGAGCTTAATACTTGACCTCCACCCAGACTCAATTCGATTTGTTGAATCCCCAAATTTAAATTCAACCTATTTCATTATTTTTTTTGGATCAATCTAATTCCTTTGGATTGGGTTCTCATGTTGGGCTTCAAATTGGAATGGCTTATTTATTGAATAATACCTTACATAGAGTTCATGTTTTTCAACCCTAGGAAAACTTCAAACCGATTTTTTTGTTGGATAAGCACTTTAGAGTATTTTGTCTGATTTCCATTCTCCATTCTCCTATCTTTTGGCCCCTCAAGAGAAAATTTTTGACTCCTCTATTGACTTCCATCAAGTTCTTTTCAATTTGCTCTTTGTTCTTCTAAGTTCTTACCCCTTTTAACTTATAACTTTTTTTTTTTTTTCTAATATGGTCTTATGAAAAACCAAATTAAATCCTTTAGAATGAAACGTAGTTGACTGAATGAATCAAAACCTAGGTAAGTGATATCTATCTTCCAGGTGAATTAATTTTCCTTCATGAGAAAGATTATCAACACTAGAATGGAAGAAATTTATCCCTTTTAATAATAAGTTCTAAAGATGCATGAACAATTGGACATTATCATAGTTACAGAAAATATATAAATATAGATAAATACATAAGTAAGCAAAGAGGTCTGACGGTCTAAATATATTTATATTTACATTCTTCCCAAACTGAGGCTCAGTGATGGATTTATTAGTTCATATTCGTTCATATAAGATTTGTAGCTGCTAAATGAATTCTGGTGTAAAAAGTGTTCAAGGTGCGATCTACAAAATGGGATACTCTCTGTATTTCTGTATTATTAAAAGAAATCATAGAATTTTCGTTATTGACTCGTTGCTCGTTGCATTTAAAGCATAGAAATAAGATGACTATATAATGCATTCTATTATATTAAAGTCATTAATTTCTTTATCTTTCCTTGTTTAATATATAGTGCCGGTAGCCGGTGGTTGCCCGTGTCTCTACGGGTCTATATTCCAAATTAGCTGAACTCACATGGGGCCTACAATGTTAGCCAATCTGGTTCATCTGATTTGGCAACTTCCAGTTCATCCTCCTTCGCCAGGTGAGAGACTGACAGTGGATTTTCTAGGGAATGGAGTAGATCTAGGATAGGTGCCACATGGAGATTGGTGGGCTCAGAACATAACAACAAAAACAGGTTGGAAATGGTGCTGATTTAGCCAGGGCCAGATCTTTATGCAGGAAATACACGGTCCATACCCTGTACATAGACGTGGCAAAAAGTTGACCCAATCTGTGAATTCGACCCAACCCAACTCGAAAAAACAGGGTTAGAGTCTCATATTTAATTATCCGAATGTAAAAATGATTGAATCCAACCCAATCCGAAAAAAATTGGGTTAGGTCACGGGTCAATTAGCTGATCCAATTGTCAAATCTAATTGGGATTATTTGTGCATTGTTAGAAATTTCCACTTTTTAATTTTTTCTATTTAGTCTCTACTTTTTATTGTTTACTCTTTAAATTATTAAATATTCAAATTTTTTATTTTATATTTGGAATTTAAAGATTAATTCTTTTAATTTTGACATTTTTCATGTAATTTTTCTTTATTTTTTAAATTTTAATTATTTTTTAGGATGACTCAAATTGACCCATGGGTCAACCCTAATCCGAATATTTAAGATTAGGGTTTAGCATTTGAAAATCCAACCCGAAACCCAAAATCAACTCAAAGTACCTCGACTCAACCCGAACCCGACCTACCCTACCCAATTGCCAGGTCTACCCGTACAGATTGTGGCTGGCTTGTGATTTGTTCGGAAATTTGTCGAAAAAGGGAAATTTTGGACGACTTCTACATTAGGGAGAGACAGGAGTTTGGAGACCACAGTTTTCACACGTTTTTGGTTTTCCTCTCCTTTATCTCTCTTTTCTCTTTCCACCTTACTATCCCAATGGGCTGAATTTGTTTATAATAATAAAATAATAAATAATAATAATTAAGGAATAGTATATAAACAATCTAACGTCCATTCGTCCTCACAAATTCGAAAATTTCCTTAAAATATTAGTCATCCAGTTCGATCACTTCACCCGTAATCCAACGGCTCCTCATCATCTAGTTCAATCACTTGGTTTAGTTTCATACAAACCGTTTTATCTGTATAAGAAGATGTATGGGCTTGCGCCCCATCGGCCCCCACCTGCATGGGATTCTATCTCTTCCCGCTGAGATCGTCCATACTGTACTGCTGGATCCACTCGAAATGCACTGAATCAAAGCGGGACCCAGTTTCTTCTGTTGACCACTGACGGACTTCAGTCAATGCTCAAGCCTGCCTGACACTGACTGTACATAAGGCAGTTAAGATATTGACACGTGGGCAACATACACTCGTTTCATAGTTAGATTCGGTCACTACAGTCATTTTCTACCGTCTGATCATTGATGAACGGGCCAAACAATTTCATTGTAAGAAAACAGAATTCTTGGTTTGAACTTCGAAGTGCTAAGACTGTCAAGCATAGATTTTCGGTTTTTCCCTCTAAGCAATTTAGCGTGAGGCAGAGCACAAAGTAATGGTGAATGGCGCAGTGGATTGTGCGGTGTGCACTCTGCAGTCTGCAGATTTGCGTACCGTACGCACTCCTCGCGCATGTTTACAAATTCCAAAATAAGCTTCCGAAATTTGAAAATATCAGCACTCAGCACTTCAGCAGAAGCTGAGAGGACTTTCGATGATGGGAAAAAAAAGGAAAAGTTGGCAGACGAACCGGGAGAAACCGGTCGAACCGTGTCTCTCACTGCATTTCGTTGGCAAATGGCAAATGGGCAACTTGCTTAAAAAGTTACCATCATTTGCATCTTAGTAAGTTAAAGTAGGTCAAGACCTATTGACCATTCGATGTCATTATAACAGTCTCGGGATCCACAATCATAATGATGCGACGGGTACGCTCGACTAGTATCCTCCTTCGACTCTCTCTCTCTCTCTTATTATACAAAACCAAAATCGTGTCTTCTTCTCTCCGTTGTCCCTCTCGCAAGTCTCGAGAGACAAACAATGCTTCTGCTACTGTTCTTTCTTCTTTTGCCTTCTCAGGTTCTCTCTCTAAACCAGGAAGGTCTGTATCTTCAACGAGTCAAACTCGGATTCGATGACCCGGATGGCGCCCTTGCCGACTGGAGCGAGAGAGACGACACTCCATGTAACTGGACGGGCATCCGCTGCGACTCCAGTACTCCTCCTTCGGTTATCTCAGTCGACCTCTCCAGTGCCAACGTCGCCGGTCCTTTCCCAACTATCATCTGTCGTCTTCGCAACCTTGCTTTCCTCTCCCTCTACAACAACTCCATCAACTCTTCTCTTCCCGTTGAAATCTCTGCTTGTCGGAATCTCCGGGACCTCAACCTCGCCCAGAACTATCTAGTGGGTCCTATCCCGGCCTCGCTCGCCGAAATCCCAACTCTTCGCAGCCTTGACCTGTCAGGAAACAACTTTTCCGGCGACATCCCGGAGAGTTTTGGGCGATTCCAGAGACTTGAGGTGCTCTCCCTCGTTGAGAATCTCCTCAATGGCCCCTTTCCTTTATTTCTTGGAAACATTTCCACTCTTAGGCAACTTAATCTATCTTACAACCCATTTACGCCGAGTCCAATTCCGCCCGATCTAGGTAACTTGACAAATCTGGAAGTTATCTGGCTTACTCAATGCAATCTTGAGGGTCAGATTCCTGACTCGGTCGGCCGGCTTAAACGTCTGACGGACTTGGACTTAGCGTTGAACAACCTTGTCGGTCGGATTCCAGAGTCGATTACTGAGCTTTCGAGTGTTGTACAGGTTGAGCTTTACAACAATTCGTTGTCCGGTAATTTGCCGAGGGGAATGTCTAAAATGACGGCATTGCGGAGATTCGATGCTTCCACGAACCGTTTAGAGGGACCAATTCCTGATGAATTGTGTAGCTTGCCACTCGAGTCGCTGAATTTGTATGAGAACAACTTTGAGGGAACTGTGCCAGCAAGTATCGCTCTGTCGCCGAATCTATACGAGTTGAGACTCTTTAGTAACCGGCTTACCGGAGAACTGCCGAAGGATCTCGGGAAGAATTCCCCGTTGATGTTGATAGATGTTTCAGAAAATCAGTTATCCGGTGAGATTCCCGCTAATTTGTGCGAGAAAGGTTTGCTAGAAGAGCTTCTGTTGATCCAGAATTCGTTTTCTGGGAAAATTCCTGAGAGCCTTGGTCAGTGCCGAAGCTTGAATAGAGTTCGTTTGTTAAATAACAAGCTCTCCGGTGAAGTCCCGGCGGCGTTCTGGGGCCTTCCGCGTGTCTCTTTATTTGAGCTTGCTGGAAACTCGTTTTCTGGTGGGATCCCTAAGACAATCTCCGGCGCCTCTAATCTTTCGGTCCTGCTTATTTCGAATAACCAATTTACAGGGAACATCCCAGAAGAAGTTGGATCGTTGAATAATCTCGTTGAGTTCTATGCTGGTGATAACCGGCTGAACGGCCCGCTACCTTCAACACTGGTGCATCTTACTGAACTCATCACACTTGATCTTCACAATAACCAGCTCTCAGGTCAGCTTCCATTAGGAATCCGGTCAATGAAGAAGCTCAATGAACTGAACCTCTCCAATAATAGACTAGCCGGTGAAATTCCAGAGGACCTTGGGACATTACCGGTACTTAATTACCTTGATCTCTCGGGCAATCTTTTCTCTGGGGAAATCCCACTTGAATTGCAGAACTTGAAGCTTAATCGTTTCAACCTTTCAAACAATCGCCTCTCTGGAGATATTCCCCCTCTCTACGCTAAAGATGCTTACAGGGGTAGCTTCTTGGGCAATCCTGGTTTATGCAAAGATTTGGCAGGTCTGTGTCCAACCAAAACTGAAGTGAAAAGGCAGGGCTTTGTTTGGCTGCTAAGGTCAATCTTTATACTTGCTGCTCTGGTCCTTGTCGTTGGGGTTGCCTGGTTTTTGTGGAAGTACAGGAATTACAAGAAGGAAAAGAATGGTGTCGATAAATCGAAATGGACGCTGACGTCCTTCCACAAACTGGGCTTCAGTGAATATGAGATCTTGGATTGCCTCGATGAAGATAACGTGATCGGTAGTGGCGCTTCTGGGAAGGTCTACAAGGCTGTACTCAGCAATGGAGAGACAGTTGCTGTGAAGAAGCTATGGGGTGCATCCAAGAAAAGAGATGACAGTGGTGATGTTGAGAATGGCAGGATGGCGGATGGTGGGTTTGAGGCAGAGGTGGAGACGTTGGGGAAGATCAGACATAAGAACATAGTCAAGTTATGGTGCAGCTGTACAACTCGGGATTGCAAGCTGCTTGTCTACGAATACATGCCTAATGGAAGCTTGGGGGATTTGCTTCATAGCAGTAAGGGAGGCTTGTTGGACTGGCCTATAAGATACAAGATTGCTGTGGATGCTGCAGAAGGTCTTTCATATCTGCATCACGACTGTGTCCCTCCAATTGTTCACAGAGATGTGAAATCCAACAATATCTTGTTAGATGGGGAGTTTGGGGCTCGTGTGGCAGATTTTGGAGTTGCCAAGGTTGTGGATATGGTTGGAAAAGGGCCCAAGTCTATGTCTGTCATTGCTGGTTCTTGTGGTTACATTGCTCCAGGTTAGTGAAACTCGATCACTTGATCCTTTATGCATATCTTCATCTTACATCTTCCATTTTCCTGTTTGGGTATAGTAATCGTTTGTTTTTATGCTCATAAATTTCAGATAAAATGGTTCCAAGATGTTTTTTTCTTCAATCCTTTGATCCGTGATACTTACCTTGTTCATCTATTATACTGCTTTTGATTTGAAAGCTCTGTTTACTGTGGCCTATCTTTTGTTTATTACAAAATCGTCTTCTGGTTTGGGATTTGCTTTAAGCTTGGACCATTAACCTATCACGGTTACTGGTTTGCTTGTGATCCATTCAAGAAATTAATTTTATTTGTTCTCTTTCTCTTTCTTTTTTTGAATAATCTGTTTTTTTTTTTCTGTTAAACTTGTTGCAGAATATGCATACACGCTTCGTGTAAATGAGAAGAGCGACATATACAGCTTCGGGGTGGTTCTTCTTGAGTTGGTTACAGGGAGACTTCCTGTTGACCCCGAATTCGGAGAGAAAGACTTGGTTAAGTGGGTCTGCACCACCATGGATCAAAAAGGTGTTGAACATGTGCTTGATCCCAAACTTGACCTTTGTTTCAAGGAAGAAATATGCAAGGTCCTTAATATTGGGCTCCTCTGCTCCAGCTCTCTCCCCATCAACCGTCCCTCCATGCGAAGGGTGGTGAAGATGCTGCAGGAAGTGGGTGCAGAAAACAAGCCCAAGGCTGGAAAGAAGGATGGGAAGTTGTCACCCTATTACTACGGGGATTCAACTGATCTGGGTAGTGTGGTTTAACAACTCAGTGCAAGGTTTTGCAGAGACAATCTTAAAAAGGAAGTGAGAAGAAAACTGCTTTTCCTCTGGTTCATTTACTAATTTTAAGCCCCTCTTGCTGTTTGTGTCATGGAGGGAGATTGGGAGAAGAAGAAACAAGGAGAGAGTGAGAGCTCAGTGGAGTTTGTGTTTCTATTAAGGTGCTGGTGTTGTATACTGTAAATTAATTAACCCCTTAAAAGTTTTCTTAAACAAGCTTTTAGAAAGCTATCTATAGTAAGACCTCTCATCAGTAGTAGAGTGCTGGTTGCCTTTTTTTTCCCTTTTTTTTCTTCTCGGATATGGCAGATGATTATTAACATTGGCACTTGTACCTGTATTGGTAATTGCAGTTAATGCTAGTGAAACAAAGCATGGGCTTGTCTTTTCTTCTACATTACTGTTATTTCATGGAGGATTAAATGCTGTGTCTACTGTCCTCTGAAACTGCACTGAAAATTTGACCTACATGTGGTTGCAGAGCTATGCCAGTTAATTAAGGCAGTTGCCAGTTGGTTCTCTCTTCCATCTTGATCATTTCATGGTCCTTCCCATTTAGTGAAAGGCCCCCCTACTTCCGCTGTTTCTGTTTCTCATTCAATGGTACCTCTTGCTTTTGGACTCTGTAGCACCTGGTCTCCTGTAAATTTCTGGGCAACCATAAAACCCCACAAAAGTTCTCCAAGGAGTTTTCAAATTATTCTCATCAACAGAAGATTTACTATTTGCCCATCTTTCTCATACAGTGATGCAAATGACATAAGAAAAATAAAAAAAGATTTTCCCTTCCATGATCTGTCAACGGTGATATCAACCTTTTTCTTTTCCCTCTTCCATGATCAGTCAATTGTCAATCATGGGAATTGTATTCTTCGTAGGCGGGTTCACATGATTTCTATCCTAGGAACTGATTCTCACGCTTCAATTCATTCATGGAAGCCACTAGCCAGAGACCTGACCCGGGAATTTGTGATGTTTTAAGTTTCATTGATACTCCTACTCAGCATGTTATATTTGTAATGTAATCAAACAGTATCACCTTTTTTTCAGGGTCCTTGTGCTGTACCCAGCAGACATGGAGTGTCTGAACATGCAGCCAGTCCAACTCAAGGCCAAGGAGGTTTGGTAGTTTAAGTAGTCTAAAGTTCTACTGTAATAAGCCATGTCAGTTCCTTACAAAATGAGTCCTACATCAGACTGACGTGGTGTTTCATGGTTGGCCCAGTATCTGGAGGTTTGACATCAACATTCAGTGAATGAGTGAACTGTCACAGAAATTAAAAACTTAAAAATTTGAAATGAAGTACTGAAAGTTTTAGGGCTCCCTGACTTACCTCCAAGCCCCAACAATGGGTCCTTCATCACTAAATGAGTAAATGACCATGGCCCATTAACCAGTTTGAGTGAGTTGGGCTCACCAAGCCCATCTCTCCATCCCTCTCTCTCTTTCTCTGGTCAATAAAGATGAAATGCCCACCGTGTACGTGTAGACTGTTGATAAGTCCAGGGATGTCCAGCTCAGCAAAAATTATTAAATGAGGCTTGACTTGACCAAGTTAAACTTTTCCAATTCTTATCTTTATGTTAAGATGGGACCAAATAGGCAAAATCTTAGCCCACTAAAATTTATTAAAACTCAGCTGACGAGACCAAGTTGAGAAGTAGAGATTAAAGTTTTAAAAGGCAAACCTAACCAAGCATAACTGTCACATTAAACATCGAAAGGGTGATAGCTTAGAAGAATTACAGACATTTGAGTGGGTGTCAATGTCATAATCTTCCTCATTGATCCATCAATAAATTACTCATGGAAGGCAAAAGTCACTGTGCCGCCCAGCTGTGTCTACTGTATACACACCATCAGAAATGATAACATGGACCCTCCATCAACAAAAACTTATTCATTTTTTTTCAACAAGAAGATAGATAAGAAAGAAGCAGATAAAGGGGCTCTATCTCTGTCCTCAAATTAATACTTGAATACCACAGTGACCTTTGTTTATAAGCCAATCTGCAGCTTGATTACCTTCTACCGTCGAGATCTAGCAGCTTCTCCGGCAAGGATTACCACGACCCAAGAGAAGTTGGATTGTCAAGTGGAGTCACCTTCGATCACCACATGATTACTGTGGAGCTGGGAGTTGGGTCGATATAGCTCGTGGGCTTCCAGAGCTGCCGTCATTTCAGCTAGTCTCCTTTGATGGCTTTTATCATTTGGGCTAAGCAAGTAAAGGCGCATAGGCTGTCATCGGATTATTGGATTCATCTAAATCCTGTAATATCATTAAAACAAAATCTATAATGGTAATTTTTACTCAAAAGTTTTTATTTATAATCTGTAAAATTTAAATTTTTATTTCAAAAATTTTGAAATAATCTATAATTTATTCAGAACAAATGAAAACCTATGGTCAAGAAGAAAATAGTACATGAGAGCTCTATGGTTAAGAAGAAAACCTAGGCGAGAAAATAACGGCGACAATGAAAAAAGAACGGCGGCAACAACTTGATTGTTGCAGAGAGTGAGAGTTGAGAGAGCAGAGAATGGCAGCAACTTGGCAAATGGCAATGCGAGTTAGGTGACGGCAAGAGAGGAGAAGTGAGAAGAAAATGTCGATTGTTGAAGTGTTAAGTGAGGGCTTAGGATTTTAGGGCTGACCAATTGGGGGTTTGAAGAACAGATTTCCTCATTTACCCCTAAGAAATTTTATCTATTCCATTAATATATAAAAGTATATAATATAAAATATACTCATATTTATAAATATATCAGACTCAGATTTTTATTGGATCAGATGGGGTGAATCCAAATTCGATCTGATTTTTAATCGGATTCTACTTCTGCCATTTGAATCCGATCCAATATGACATTTACCTCATCCAAATCCAAGATTATAGGATCGGATATCGGATCAGGTCGCGGGTTTACGGGTATCGTTGACAGGCCTAAAGGCACATCTAGCATGGATCTTCATTGATGCATCAAAATTAATTTTAATTTAATTCAACTCTGAGGAATCCATCAGTTTCAATTGGGACCCAATTGATGTATTCAACCTCTTATCATCCCGTTCCTTAAGAGATTGTTAGCTTTTCTATAATCCCATTAAGGCTATATTTGGTTTGAAGGAAAAAGTAGGGAAAGGAAGGGATAGGTTGGAAAACCATCACAAATCTTGTATAGGTTCCCTACCTTTTCCTTCCTTTCCCTACATTTTCCTTCAAATCAAACATAGCCTAAGGCTCCCAAAGCTTTTTTTTTTAATACTATTTTCGGAGGATTATAATTTTGTTCATTCCTATTTTTCCATAGAAATTAATTAAGCATATGATTAGAGTCCACTTACCACTTAATTTTTTTCCACGGAGGGTTCATCCATGGCTCTCTATATATAATTTTGTGCAATAACAGATTTTAACAAGGTTCAAAAACTATTTCAACACAATACTTTTTGCTTTTTGAAACCATCAAAACGCCAAACATACCATTTTCAGTTGTTGATACCCTTCCTATGGATGGCTATCATCCTTTGAATCGTGCGGTGCACAATTTTTGTGTTTTATGCTTGCGTGTTCGATACTTTCAACCATGCTTTATTTCAGAATTTTTCAAGAACTTATATGAAATAACCACATATTAGTTGATAAATTTCATTTCTAAACATGTTTCCATGAAAATTTATTTTGGAGTTTGAAATATTTAAAAAATTACATTGAGAAAAAAACCTTTTTTTTCCTTTTCTTTTTTTTTTTTTATTCTTTGTTGAGAAAAAAACCTTTTCTTTCCTTTAACATAAAGTAGTAATTAGATGTTTTTATGGCCTCAAGAATAATGCAATTGAAATGTTTAGACTTTAGATGAAGCCTGAAGAGATCAAAATACTAAACATTCTTATTAGTTAAATTGTCCCTAATTTATTGTCACTTTCACACATGCATTGACCAAAATGCCCACATGCACGTAAGAATAGCTGAAACAAGGAATATGCATCACTTAGTTGAATGCAATAGCTGTTCAGCAGTCCACACCAGTCCTATAATACATGGGGACTACAACCATTAATTTAACCTTTCAGTGTGGGTCTCATCTCATGTACTTTGTAGGTAGCATGGGCGCTATTATTGATTTCACAGCCCACTACACAGCTAAAGCATTCAGCTGATCCGGATTCATGTGGAACTGTTCAACAAGATATGAGTGCACCCTAACCAGACCTGGCCGAGGATTTTCTTTTCAGAATGTTCACCAACTCCAACTCCATGAGAAGGCTTCTGAGAATAAGGGTGATCTTGAGACATCAGATTGAGCTTCGGCACATAACATATAATTAAAGGATGGATAGTTAATTTATATGAAATAGGAATTTACTATTTCTTTAATTTTGACATGTTTTATTTTTCTCTTCTTAAAGGTGCCAAAAAGCAAAGAAGAGCAGTAGAGAAAGGGAGGAAACAAAACACTCCCCACTCTCTTCCTAAAGAAAATCTTTCTTTTCTCTCTTTTCCAATCAAATACAGTGTTAGAGTCCTTTTCAAGTGTTAAAATCTGGTAATGGAAGGAGACATGGATTTTAGGCTATTCAATGAATCACATCAAAACATCAAAGCTCCACTTCACATTGACCAAAGTAATGTTGTAACACCCTTTGCTTTAAAATTCATGTTGTTCAAATTACTAAAACACCCTCCATCAATTTCATGCAAAATTATTAAACGCCCTAAATCCAATGATGCATGTAGATTTTACTAAACCTTAACTTTATTTTCTTATTGTCAATACCCAATTTTTGCTTGTTCCCTTCACCTTACCTCTTTGTACCCTCTTTTTAGACTCCAAAACTTGAACCACAACTAGATCAAATTGAGCTTTACAAAGCCAAAAATTTTTCCTTTGACATAATCCATAGGACAAATGAAAGCCTCGAGATCAACATCGATGTCTATTTAAATACGGCCTAGAGACTTAGGAAACTATAAATTAGTCACACATCCACCATTAATCATGCCAACTTCCTTTATAACAGCCTTGGTCCAATGCACCCATCGCCTCAAGATCATTAGAATACAATCAACTAGCGAATCCCACTACAAGTCTACAATGACCAACTTCAAAAACACATAAATTTCATTCTAACAACCCTACACAACTAGATTTAGAAAACTTAGATTAACCATTTATTTCTCAGATCAGAACCATCCACTTGACTCCACACCTTAATCCATGCCTACCCACCAAATTTCATCATAAAATTCCCCTGTTTGACCCGCCATCAAGCCTAGGTCCTATTTCAGCAAATCTCATCGAATAGAGCTTGTCATCCATCACCCCAACTTCATTTAACCAATCAGACCTCATCATTGTTTTTGAAAACCCCAAAAACCCTAGCACATCAAATTTCACGACCAAACTCGTCCATTTAACCGTTAAAAAAGTGAGATTCCATTTTGGATCGTCTCGTTAACTGATAAACCATTGACCCAAACCAAACCTATCAATCCACATCAAAGATCCATCACTTCCATCATATTTAGGACATTCAAAAATGCCTACCCACTTAAAATTCCCTTGTTTGATCCTTCATCAAATAAAGATTCTATTTTGGCAAATCCTATTGATTTGAACATGTCAGCCATAGATCTCTATGATCCCGACCCTATGTGGCCAATTAGACCTCACAATTGTGTTTAGAGACCCAAGAAACCCTGAACACTTCAAATTTCAAGTCCTAATTCACCCGTTCAACCGTTAAACTAAAAAACATTTTGACGCATTAGATCGAATCGTCACCTCATTTGTCCTAACTTGAAACCTCAAAAAGGTGATGGTTGATGTCATTCTTGAACTGTTCAAACATCTAGACTAATGAAATTGAGCTTAAAAAGACCCAAAAAACCTAAAAACCCAAAGATACCCCATTTGAAACTAAGAAAAGACAAAACCCTTTTAAAAGTTCATTAAATTTACATTTTCTGCCATTGACAGCCCCAAATACGAGACTGCCATGTCAGGCACGACACAAGCTCCCATTGGACACACAAAACCCATGAAAATCACTCCCAAATTGAAGAAAATATTTCACCAAATAGGAAAACTTGACTGGGTATCTATTTCTTTGAAGAGTCTTTACCTATTTCCATGAAAAACCTCTGTTAAATTCTAAGCACTGTAAATGAAGAATTCAGACTTGTCCCCCTCCATTTTTCTATAAATACTGATCTAATTTGAACTCAATTGGGGGGGGGGGGGGAGGAAAATAAGAGAAAAAACAAAAAAGAGATCTAAGAAGTATTCCTAACTCTTGTAGGTTCCCTATTCATGAGAAAACCCCCAAGAATTTGAACCCAAAATTCGAAATTTGTTCTATTATGTTTCAGATTTGAAATTTGCATGAAGCCTCTAAGCATTCAATAGTTTCAAACCTCTTTCGAGTTTATCCAACCACTCTTTTGTTAAGGTCAACTGTTGGGAAACTCCTATCAAGGTTGTACACGAGAGGTAAGTTTCTCATTTTAGCATTTGAACTTGAATTTGTAATCTTTGTTCTTAGTTTAGTTCTGGGTTGCTTAAAGTCTAGAAACCATTAGAATACTTGCATTTCTAGTTTCATCCAGATTGAGAAAAATAGGTAGAGAGGTAGGGGTAGGGGTGAAAAAAAACTAAAAAAATCGACCGAAAAATCGGTTAACTGAACTGGTCGGTTCGGTTTTGGTTCGATATTCTTAAAAAATTGATAATTTCGGTTCGGTTTCGGCACTTTGGGCAGTCTAAGAGACTTTCAGACTTTTTCTCTAAAAGTTTCAAAGAAAAACTTTGAAAGTTTCAAAGAGAAAGTTTCAGCCTCTGCCAGAGTGCTATACTCGAGACTATCAGTCTCTCAGTCTCGAAAATCGAAAAATTTCAAGCCTTTAGCCCTTTCTTCTCTTTTGTCTCGGTGGTTTTCCTTCCCACAACTTCTTCGAATTAGACTCACAGTCTCTCACAGTCTCACTCTCTTAGACTCTTAGTTATTTCTTTCCCAACGGACCGACGGCCTCTGGTGCTCTGCCCTTTGACCGAATCACCGACGGCCTCTGACAGATCGAGTCACCGACATTCGACACTTTGACCAGGCAACCAACTGTGTCTGTCTTATCTCACTTTCTGTTCTTTGTTCTCTCTCTCATACTCTTCTTCTTCTTCTTCTTCTTCTTCTTCTTCTTCTTCTTCCCCAACAGGCCAAACCTACTGACGGGCGAGCCTTCGACCGACGTCTGGTGTCTCCTTTCAGATTCAACCTTCACTTTCTCAGATCGGCATCTGGCGTCTCCTCTCAAATCTGAAATCTCAATCTCTCATCTCTTAGTCTTTCTCTCTCATTTGACACTCACTTGACACTCAGACTCATTGATCTCTCTCAGCCTCAGTCACTCATCTCTCTCTATCTCGCTCTCCTTAGTTCACGGCTCTGTCCAGTGTTCACTCTCTCCCGACCATTGGCAGGGAAGGTTTTTCCCCCTTGTTTAAATATTGAGGGCATAAAAGAACAGAAAAACCAAACCGTGGTTAACCGGCCGATCGACTGGTTGCATCGGTTCGGTTTCGGTTTGGTTAAATTGAAAAACTGAATAGTTCGGTTCGGTCCAGAAAATCACCCCACGGTTCGGTTAACCGAACCGCCCTAGGCTGGGGTCTTAGGGATATCAATACCTAAGATCTGATAACATCACCTTAATTCAATTTTGGGTAAAGTCGGGAGCGTTTTCGCCTGATTTTGGAGTTCTGAGTAACACTTTTCATTGTTGTTTTCCATTAGAAATTGAGCCCAAATTCCTGTTTTTGGCTGCCACAACAACTTGGAGAGAGGGGTGCCTAACACCTTCCCTCTCCCAGTCCTTTTGGGTTTAAAGTCTTTCGGTCTTGTGTCCTTTCCTATGGAGAACAGAGTCACTATCAAAACAAGTAAATCGAATTTTGAATCTAAAAACGAGAATCCATTTCTTCTAAATAAAATAAGTAGTGACTCCTACTTTTTGAATCGGCCATGAGCTTTTCGAAACTCACACTTATTTTATTTATTACATAAAGTGACCATTCTCAAACTCAAAATCGTATTTTCACGCTTAACAGCCCGAGATCTTAGATTCTTAATTACTTGAATGCCTCGTATATATACCCATTCTCTTTACCATGGATTAGGGCAAAAACATGGGATTCACTAAATGATCAAGTATTACATAAAATAATAGCCACATGACTTTCGTATCTTTGAATGTCTTCATGAAATACCTTCAGATTAAAACAACTTGCTATGTACTTAGCACTTAATGAAATTTTTATTGATTCACAATTAAAAGAAAAGAAGAGGTAAATTAATTACCATTTTTATTGGTTCGACCTAGTCTTGGTTGAAATCCAAAGGTCTGGGCCGGGGCCATTCATGTTGGCCTATATTGGTCCGGCCAAGTCTTCCCATGCTAATTTTTTGGCCCATTTAGGCTGTGTTTGGCATCGATGTCGTTGCTCTAGAAAATGGTGATACCACGTTGAAAAAATCGATGCTCTAGAAAACAATAATATATTTGGAATCGTTTTTCCATAAAAAATGATATTCCAAACCATGCCTTAGAAATCGGGAAGACGTGGTATGGGAAAACGACGAATTCGACATTTTCTCAATTTGGAGCTTCTTGTTGCCAACGAGAACATGATGTGATAGTGACATGGACTTCCTATAATGAATACCAGTGCTGAAAACAAATATAGAGCGTTGGTACCAAACAGAAAGTGTTGCTGTTGCCTCATGAAACGTCCTATCTCACAGCAACATTTCCAAACAAAAAAAAGACAACGTTTTCTCAAAAAATGGTGTTTATATGCAGCATAGATGCCAAAGATATACTTGATGAGCTGGCTGTATGCGGGCTTACAGTTTATAATAACTCGATCTGTTCAAATTTCAATGGCGTGTTTCTTGATCAATCAATCAAAAGCAGGAGTGTAACAAGTTATGAAGCTAGAGCCTCTGGCCTTGTCGCTTCACTTAATTGAACCTGATAAAATTTCATGTTGATTGATTTTTTAGATGAATCCAAAACCCCAATAGACTATTCAAGTTCGACCTATTGTTTTTCACAATTTTGTTATCCATGGGTTGTTAACTGTCTTTTCCCTCTTACGAATCTCCCACCTAACTTCAACTTCAAGAACCAATAAGAATTGTTCTTTAATGTTGGAACCATTGATTTTTGTATAAGTAAACCAATTGTACTTTGTTTGTTTTAACTAAAACTATTTAAGTAATAGACAAAAGCATGATTAATTAAGTAGGATAGATAGAGGGGCGACCAACCAACCTCACATACCCAGATACCAGAATCCCAACCTACGTACCAATCTTCCTCAATTTTCAGAAGCTAAATCCTCACATTCACATCTTTCTTTGTCAGTCCTTAATTAATTTCTCTCCCAACCCCCCAATATATATAAAAGCTCATAGTCAGAAAACCAGAGAGGCCGAGTCACAGAAGAGCTCGAGGAAGGTCGATCACAAACATGAGCCAAGTTGGCATCATCGCCTACGATGGCGTCATGGCACTTCTTGCCACAGCCCTGCTCCTCCTCGGTGTCGCCCTAATCTTCATCCTCTGTAAGAAGAAGGAACCAGCTGCTGTGGAGTCGGAAGAAAGTCTGCATCTCAAGCTTTCTGTCCGTGCTTATTCCTTGACAGATGTTGATGCCGCCACCGATGGCTTCAACAAGCGGCAGATTATCGGGCAGGGCCGCCTTGGAACTGTGTATGAAGCTCATTTGACAGGAGGGGAGTTGATTGCTATAAAGAGGATCCACCCACGGCTTGTATTGAGCAATGCCGGTTTTGGGTTCTCATCAATAGTCAAGTCTCTCTCATTCGCTGATCACCCTCACATAGTTCCCATCATCGGGTTTTCCGAGGCACCGGGAGAGAGAATAATTCTGATGGAGTTCATGGGTATGAGGAGCTTGGACTACCACCTCCACCATGACTGCAACGGTGCAGCTTTTCTCGACTGGGGCCGTCGCCTCCAGATTGCCGCAGGAGCTGCGCGAGGTATCAAATACTTGCACGAGGACATGACACCCCATGTCGTCCATGGCTGTGTCAAGCCTTCCAACATCTTGATAGATTTGAGAATCTGTGCTAGAGTTGGTGACTATGGACTCTTTTTCTTGGCTCCCCAGGAGAGGAGAGGCCTTGTGGGTTATGTTGATGCTGAGTACTGGACGGAGAAGAGAGTCTGCAAGGCAAGTGATGTGTTTGGGTTTGGAGTGGTTTTGTTGGAGCTTTTGAGTGGGAGGAGATGTGAAGAAGGGATGCTTGTTGAGTGGGCATTACCATTTATTAAAGACATGAAGATTGAGGAGATTTTGGATCCTGGGCTCCAACTTCCCTCAGATATAAAGCCTCTAGTCAGATTAGCCAAGGTTGCTTCAGCTTGTGTTAGTAACAGTAGGAAAAACAGGCCTTCCATTGTCCAAGTGGTAACCATTTTGAATAGCTTGGAGATGGAATTCTGCAATTGATGGATAATGGGTTTAATTATCTAATAAAATAATTAAGCTGGATTGAAACAGATGATTTTCTGTTAATTATTAGTGATGATACAAAGTTACAAATCAACCACTGAAAGGCAAAGTTATCAGTGATGATACAAAGTTACAAATTAACGTTCGCAGTTGATACATCAAATTTGATGTTTCAAGTAGAAACTGCAATTTATATTGATCAATCCAAAACGTTGCAGATGAAAAAAAAAAAAAAAAATCTCTCTCACAAATTTGATTTGTATTGATCAACCCAAAACAAAAGCAATGGTACCAAGCACATTAGTCTCTTAGTTGTTATTTGGTTTTGACCTCAAAGAATATTGTCTCATCAGATGGCAGTTTTCACTTCTTCATGGATTCAAGAGTCATCATGGGGATCGGATAAGGATTTAATGGCCAAGATTATTATCCTTACAATTTTATGTTTGATACTTGTTCAACAATTTTAAATGTAGAAGAAGAAAATGCAACAAACTGGTGGATCAGATGTACCTACCATACCAGCTGGAGAGGTGGGACATCGTAAACCCTGCAGCAACTCATGCTGCTACTGCTCTTTCTATTAGAATTACGTGAGTAGCAAAGAAGTGAATTACAGAATCAGTATTATATATATACTAACGAGATTTTATTTTTTAATTAAATTTTAGAATTCATCTGAAAGTTCTAGAATTGCAAAGGTGGTGCCAAGTATCAATGGAAGGGCGTGCAGGTTAAATGGACATGGGTTTTGTACAAGTGGTTAATCAAAGAGGTTCCTTAATTACCGAACTAAGAGAATGAAATGGATCTGATTTTGTCAATTGAGGACGCACCCAGTTCTCTCTCAATATGATCTAATGAATGTGATTTAGCTGTAATGGATGTAAACAAGAATGCCAATAAAATATCACTAGGGATTTCCTACCCACCCTCTACCCGCCGTGAATTGGAGCCACGCATCTGTATTATGAATTGAGAGATGTGCGGCTGCAATTCACGGTGGGTAGGAAATCTGGGCTCATAAAATGTCTTTTTTAACAAAAGAACACATTCAATGCAAATTTACTTCTTTTAATTTTTATGGATGTACATTTACATCTCATTTTGGATATAAACATGCATAAAAAAATGTATTTTCTGTCATGTCAATGCATAATTGCATTCTTGCCAAATACCGGCAAAATTAAATCAGAGTACACATTTACCCTGAACCGGGATTTACACTCCATTTGCATCATTCTCAAACGGAACCTAAAGAAAAAAATTGTATAATTTAATTCTTTTTCTTTGGATTGAGACTTGTTAGCCTAAACCAACCTCTTTCAACTAACAGGCATGCTTGTTGAAAGGTCAAAAAAAAAAAAAAAGATCTTTTTCTGTTTGGTATCTTGACCTAAGATGAGAACGTACACAAAGATAAATAGCCAAAATTCATGAAACTTCAAATAAAGTTTTTTGGTCTTTCCTTGCTTAAAATAGCCTTCCAATCCGTTTTTTAGCAGTCCGGTAGAGGAAGATGCTTAGCAAACATTCTTGGTCTTTTAAAGACAAGACTCCAAAAGCTGTCTTCCCATCTACTGAATTGTCAAAAGATCTACTTAAAAAGGATTTGTCAAACAGCACCTAAATTAATTTGCGTAGAGGAAGGAGAATGCAGGAGCCTGCCTCGTGAATGGTCAAGCTCTAGATTTTTCCTCTAAAAACAGAGTTTTATTTCTTGAATTTACAAATCAACCTCATAATTTGATTATTAGAGCTACTTCCCCTTGGGGCTGGGGGAGAATCTAGCCAGCCACACTGAACAAGAAAAATACTATTTTAGCCCAACTGGGGCTTTAGAAAATTGCCCGGCCCACAATGGCTATGAAATGGGTTTATGACCAAAACACTATGGTTCCCATAAATCGTTAGACTAGGTAAAAGTAAATGTCTGGCCCAGCCCACATTCAATTGAGCACTTTTCTTTCATTGAACCATTGGAATTAAATTCGTTTATTTATTTGTTTTTGGTTTTATCACTATATTTCTCTACCATCTCTTCACCATTGTCTCTTTCCACTGATTCTTAGTGCAGTAAGGCATCTCATTTCATGAGTAGTACAAACTATTTTTGCCACATCGATCTAGACGTGAGATTATTCCAAAAGATCGGACCCACTGAGCACCGAGTCACTGACACAATGTGGAATAAGCCTAGAGTATACAAAGTTGATAGCTCCGAGCAATCTTTTTCAATAAAAAAGAAAAGAAACAGAAAACACACCATGTGTCCCTGCAATTGATATTCAATGCCAACTGCTAAGACAAATCTTGGGTTCTGAAAACCAGACTAGACCAGATTGTTGAACTGGGTCCAACCGGACATTGACCCTTTCTTCCAGATATGAAGACTTGAAGAGGTTGGAATATGGTTAGAAACTCCAGACTTTGGCCAAACCCATTTCAACCGCAGTTGAACCAGGAATTGGATTCTGATTTTTGAGTGAACCAAATTCCATCCGATTGAATAAAATTACTATAAAAACTGGTCTCTTGAGCTTTGATTCATTCAATGTAATTACTATAAAACTGGTCTCCTTTCAAAGTTCAAAATAACCCTCGTAGACGTAGTGGGTCTTAGGTAATAAATAGGTAGGGAGACGTGCAGCTTTGATTGGCCCACTCAATGTCGCCAAAATGCCTTTCCAAAATCTACATCTTTTACTGGGCTTGGACTGTTGCCCAGATCCAACTTTAGGGCCGTAAGGAAACTGTGGTACACACATCTATATCTTCCTATTAGATTATCAGGAGCTCCAATTTCTCTCTTCACTGAGCCTGAATTAGCTATACTTGATGGCTGCGTTAGGGGCTGTGTAACCAATAATAACGCCCCACGTCAACCACAATCCACAAAGTGTATTGTCCCACAATCCCTCACTTTGCATGGATAAAAGAAGTGGAGCATATTGATTACACAGCCCCTAACGCAGCCTTTTCTTTTTTTGTTAATCAATTTTGAAATATATTTGCTTCTCTGAAAACATATTGATATTGAATTTTTCTTTCCAAGCTATATCTCATGGCCCTACAATCTTCAATGATAGGCTTTAATCTCCACGGCAGTTTGGTTTTGTTGAGGCAGTGATAGCGAGCTTTGAATCACCTTCAATAATGATGTACCTGTTTTTGAAATTGCTTGCTATCTCGTGGGCCTCCCAAACAGCCCAAGCTTCAGCTAAGTTAATAGTGGTAGATCCGATTTTGTAGGCTTTTGGGTCAAGAATATTTCCCAAATGGTCCCTTGCAACACAACTTATAGAACAATGTCCATTTACATAGGAAGCATCAAAATTTACTTTAATAGCATCTAAACACAGACTCAGCCATTTAATCTCCCAAAAAGAGCAGAGAGCTCTATCTAGAATGATAGCATGATGCAAAATTTTATTTTTGAAAGTTTTCTCATTTCTATTTTTTCATAAAATTACAAAATTTTCCTTAATATCTGAATGTTGACAGATATTTGGATCATTATCATTCAACGTTTCTACACCTCTTGAACTAAGAAAATTAATTCATTTGTGAGCTTAAATATACTTTGGGTAATCAACCAAATCTGTTTTGCATGGTTGCAGTTGACAAAAATGTGGTTAAGATACTCTTCACCTTTACCACAAATACTACAAGACCCCATCAATCTTCATTCCTCAATTTAGCAGGTTCTTTTTCCATGGTAGTTTATTATAGAGGAGGTATATAAAGGTCTTAACTACAAGAAAATCATTATTTAGAGGCATTTTCTATAGTAGCATTTATTTAAGTGCCACTAAATGTTAGTTTTAGTGGCGATTTTAAGAATTGCCATAAAATGCATGTATAAAACGCCACTATATCTTTGTTTTAAGTGGCATTTATGAACTTGCCATTAAAACGCCACTATATTATTTTTTTGAACCATTGATTGGAATTAAAATCAATGGTTGAGAATGCAAATGAAAAATCTAATAATGAGAGGAAAGAAAAAAGGCGGGGATGCAATTTTCTTCCTCCTATGCGCATTTTCTCTCTACCCGCTCATTTTCACTCTAGAACGAATAAGAAGAACTTAGTCGCACCTTAACTTTTCTCTGCTGATTCAACTCTCTCAGAGTCGAAGTCTACCACCACACTGATTCAACTCTCTCAAGGAAGAACTCAGTCTGCCGATTCAACTTTCTCAAGGAAGAACTCAGTCTGCCGATTCAACTCTCTCAAGGAAGAACTCAGTCGAACTCTCTCTGGTGAACAATCCCCATCGAAGAAGCTTCTTGTTGCTGATTCAACTATTAATCTCCTCTCAAAATTGAACCCTTCACATTTGGGCGTTCTCAATTTATGTATTTTTTTGTTTTTCTATTTTTTTTTATCTTCTTTCTCTATTGGGTATCATTTTGCTTCTTTGGGTTCTAGAGAAGAACCTATTTTTGTCATTGCCAAATCGAATCTGTCTCATATTTGGGCAATCTTCTTGTAACAGTTTTTGAAGAACTTGTTTTTCTATTTTTTATCTTCTCTCGTTGCATAAGCCCCCAAACACAAGCTTCTGTTTTTCTTTTTTTTTAAGGAGCCACCCACTTGCTCCTGATTAGAAATTTCGGTATAAATATTATTTGTACTGCTAAGTAGTGCAAAATGGTGATCTAATAAAACAACTAAAGAAACCCTAGAGCTTATGATGTCTAGAAAAAATAAAAGTATATCTTTGGTTTTTTATTTTAGATAAATTACCTACAAAATTGAACTTAGTTAACAGGGGTGTTCAGATTAATCTCTCCCTATTGCCATTCTGTGTGTAGATATGGTTTTAAGTCCCCCTCAAAATAATGAGGATTTTATTTCTTGGCGGAAAAAGATGTTGGAAGAGAAGGCTAGACCACTTGATGTGGGAAAAAAGTTAGCTGCATACGAATGCTTCAATTCTATATTTAGATGTGATAGTTTTATTATTAGAAATTGCAAATATGAAACTTTCTGATTTCTCGTAAATTTTCCTATTCTTTGGATATTTACTTTTTTGTTTATTTGATCTTATTTTTAATTATCTATTAATTAAAAATTCCATGCTTGGGAGGCTTACACCTCATGCCTTAGGATGGTAGAACATCTT